TTTTTGGGTTTTACAAAGATTGCACGGTCTTATAGAATCGCCTATAGGGAATGAAAAATACAAAGAAGAAATCAACCAACAACTTAATAGTCTTTCTCAAAGTCTCCTCCCAAACTCTCTTCTTCCATATCTTCCTCAGGATCCTCGTCAACCTCCTCCTCATCCTCATCATGGTTTTACTATGGTTCCTCTTCTAGATCCTCCCCTGGTTCTGTCTCAGACTTGATCTATATGTATTCAACTATCTGGTTGTCATCATCCTGCGGCGGCTGCATGTGATCGACCGATCCTGGAACTACATGTTGATGCATGGCAGTGGTAACAAGATAGTGAGGCAGGATCTCATGATATATCTGTAAAACAGCTGTTGAGTCCTCTAATCCGGCTAACCCCTCTCTACTAGGCCTGGCCAATTCAGCTTCTTCGTTGATCCACACAAAATACTCGAGCGTGCACCAGAAGTTTTGCCCCATTCCTATTATGATCAGGTCGTTCCACTCATCCAGAGACTTTTTACCCTTGGGATTGAAAGCTTCCCGTTGTAATCATCCTCATGCAAAGCTATCTTTGACCAAAGAGGCACGTCTTGAATCAACCCAAACTGCCTCAGAACCCTCAGTGGTGCATACGGTTGAATCCCTTCTAGACCTACCAACTCAATAAAGTATTTTCCAGTCTTCTCAAGATCGCTCTACCACTCAACCAAGAAAGTTTCCAGTTGATGAATTCTCCGCTCAAGTGGGTCAAAAGTTACCACCACTCCTCCTGGCCATGTGGTGTAGCCAAATGACTCATCCTTTCATTATGGTTGAGGATCATGTTACTAGTGCTGACAAATTAGTCAATGGTCGGCTCTCTCTGGAAGAAATGCTCCATAGCCCATATCTGTAGTAGCAATTTTCAGCCTCTGAAGAAATCATATCCTCTTGAACACGCTGACAGTGCTCTGAACATCTCTGCTAGTATCATAGGAACAAGGGTGACCCGCAGATTTCCCGGAAAGTAGCCAAAACCAGGGGCATTAGATTGATATTGATCTGCCCCTTCCTTTGCGGTAAAACCAAAAGTCCCTACAATTCTAGAGCAAAGTCTAGAGGCGAAGGTTCTCCCATGTCGCTTGGTTGCACTGGAATTCCTCAAGGCGCCAATCATAGCTCTCCCGGTGCCCAAATCTGTCAAATAGCTGGTTCAGACTCACCCATCCATCCTCGACATTTCTCAAGTTCTTGTTACTCCTCAAACCCAGTGCATAGAGGAACCTGTGGTTCGGCATGATGACTGGTAGTATAGGTTTCTTCCCGACGAATGTTAACTCGGTGAAACTGGTAATCTCCTCCAGTGTTGGCATCAGCTCACAATCAACAAACTTGAAGACCGCCTTGGCTGGGTCCCGAAAATCTATCAGTAACCTAGTGAGTACCATGTTAGCTCGGATGTTCATTAGTGCAGTCAACGCTCCTAAGTGCATCTTGATTTCGTCCCCATGCTCCTGTTGAATGTTCCTCCATCACTACTTTAAATTGTGAGGTGATCCTATGACCATGTTAATCTCTGGGACGTTGCGGTTGATTTCCATCTAAAGGGGAGAAAGGTTTGGTAGTATTTGCTCCGAATCCTTAGTGTCTTATCTGGATTGATTCGTAATTCCACAAAAAGCATTTCGTTGGGTGCATGACCCGTTGAAATTAAGGTAGCTTTCCTAATTGTGAGTCAATACTAAGGATCGGCCCACCAAAGGTTTATGCAGCATGACCTATGTTTGTTAAGAGTAGAGTGTTCCCTAAATTTGGAGTTGGACTGAATAACTGCGAGACGTTATGTCAGTTGGCCTGACAAAGTCGTTATCTGAAACTAGAGAGTTTTGAAAGAAGGTTCGGAGGGGTGAAAAGACAACCCTCGCGTGCCATTGTGTTTGATTGTGTACGGCCAAGACTTGATAGAAAAAATGTGATGACATTGCATAAAGCAGTAATAGATAATTATGGTGAAAAAGTAATAATATTAAAAATAAACAGGTAAGCACATATCAACAGGTTATAGAGTCAGGTAAAGCAAATAGGATAAAAAAGTAAGCATATATTTGCAGGTTAAACACACAATTAAAGCAGAATATAAACAAACATTCCCAAGTTCAAGTCTAGCCTTAGTTTGCTACGGTCAGAACATAAGTGTGAATCCCCAGCAAAGTCGCCATATTGTTGTACCCTATTTTATACTAGTCAAAATATAATACAACTAATGGTTCTTCTAAAGTTAAAAGAGAGTCGCCACCTAATATTCTAAGGTATATTAGGGTACCTATAAGTCTGTAAAATTATTATCCTAATGGTCTGCTAACCGGTAAGATTTAAGTAAGTGTTCTAGCTATTCTATGAGGAATGTGTTAGGCACTTCCTAAAATCTACCTGAGGTAGCTCCTTAAACTTAGGCTAGGTTTGGGGAAAGAAAGGCCTATATTCTGTTTAGTCAGTGGTTAAAATAGCTAAGTAAATTTATGAAAGAATGTTTAAGTCTTTTTTGAAAAATTCATTGTTTTGGAAAAGGTTGCATTTATCTTGAAAAGAATGATGTTGTTTGTAAGCTTTTATAACTCAAAAAACAAGAGGTCACTTTTAAAATGTGCCTTAGGTCGAAAATGGTTATACCTTGTTTGTTTCATGAAAATGATTCTAGCGAAATGCCTTGTGTTTCAAATTCATTTGTTGTTTCTTGTTAACACGGCTATGTATGGTTGCTTCTATCTTTCGAAACAGCTTCTTGTATTTTGTATGATCCATTCCGTAATCTTCCAAAGGAGGTTTGCTTTTGTTTTTGAATCTATCAAAGAGCTTAAAGATTAAAGTCATTAGTGGTAATCATAAATAAGATTTCTCATTTATTTTAAAAGATTAGTCTCAAGTGTTGTGTTAAAGCGACGGAAAGCAGATGAATCTAATTATCTAGTTTGATCTTTTATCTATGAGTCTTGATTTGCCTATGTTTCCTAAACAAACAAAAATATAAAACAATAACCAATAACAAGGTTTGTTTCGATAGATATGTATATACAGAGTAATGAACAATAATATTTATCGTCTAACAATGAGAGGGAGGAAGGGATGGACTCTCGATATTTGGGCCAGTAGGTAGTCAAGCCCAACAAAATTCTCACAAGTAGCAGACTCCAAAGAGCAGGAAAAGAAATGACCCAGGTCTGGAAGTTGGGCTTGATCTTCAAATGGTCTCAGCAGGCCCAATTCAAATATGCATGGTAAAAAGAAAGAGGGAACAATTAGTATACATCAACATAAGAAGCAAAATAAATTATGGAAGGTAAGTAAAGATCTGAAAAGACATAGTATGATTCTAGTTTTCATTTTTCTGCCAACCCTATGAAGATTAGTTAAGGTTAATGATCAAACGCTTAGGGTGAACCATATTTTATTTATGAAATCTCCTATGGACACCTTACACTTCAGAGTTCACAAGGGTCTCAAGGACCCCGAGCAGTGCTTGTTCCAGGGAGGAGTACCTCGATAACAAAACAAGTTCACACCCAAATACCCTTAGTCATCCACTCTTACTATTCCTCAAAGGCTTAGACATAAATGAAACTGTCAACTACTTGAAATAAATAGCTATAGAGGACATTACATTATCATTAGAGTACCAAGATATGAACGGCTCAGAACCATTCACAATATTAACCTTGGGGCATGTTGGCAGAACACTAATACAAAGATAGATCACTACAACTAAACTTCTAGTATTCCAATAATATCAGGGGCCTTAAGGCTGATCCTAGCATGCATAAGAGAACTTAAGTGGATCATAACTAAGATGCAGTCATAGAACAAAGAGAACTAGTTGCATATTATCAGTAGGTAGGTGCTAGATTTAATCACCTCAAATTCAAAAATGCCCTAACTTTGTTCATTCTATTAAAGGTTTAGTACTTTAGGATCTTTAAATAGATTCAGATTACTTAGAGCAAGTCAATAGGTATTTTAATAGATTTTCAGAACAGTTTAGAGCAAATATATATATATATAACTGAGATTCCACATCACTAAGCACTTATACTTGCAGCCTTGTTCAGACTTTCTAAGGATGAGAGCAACCAACAGGGACACCAACATGAATATAAAGATTAGTTTAGTCTTTTTAGACCTAATGACATGATGTCTTGTTGTAACAACACATAGTCTATCAGATTTTCAAACTACCAGATCCAAACTATTTTAGATTCTCAATTAAGTTCTTCTATAAACAGTGATGTCAACAAACATGAGATGGCAAACAATGACAGTCATTTCAATTTGCAAGGGGTAAGGCAAACATATCACAATGAGTTTACTTGAACATATGAGTAGTTCTACTAGCAAGTTACACCAACAAACTTTCATTTTAGATCCTACATGCATAATACATGTTCATCAATATTCAGTCAAGTTATTGAGTTATTGAGGCAGGCAGTACTCAAGTTGACAAGAGGAGTCTTCCTAAACAGTGTCTTGAGCATTACATGATCTTGAGAGAACTAGAAAACATAAATGGCCAAAACAACAAGTAGATAATTAATATCATTTTAGATGAACAAATAAGATTATAGTGATACCTTAGGTCAACATTTGTCAAGTATTCACAATTTATGAGGCTATCATGATAGACTACTTTCTTTTAGCTGAACAAAACCAACATGAGGCCAAATATGGCTGTTATATAAAGTTTCCAACTTAGGCAGATAGATTAGCATAATAGGGTAGGCATGCTGTTGGGAAGACCTTTTGAATTACCAAGGAATCACATGCAAGTTGACGTAGTAGTTTGAACATGGAACTTTCTCAACTAAAGGGAATATGGAGGTCCATGAACATCACTGGATCAACAAAAATCAAGCAAGTGAGTGTAGATTCAAGCATAGAGGTCAAACATGAGTCATTTAATAAATTTAGAAATATAAGTGATATACAGCTACATCACAAAGCTCAGACAGGCTATGGGAGTATCAGAAGGTAAAAGTATACATTTCAGCAGGTAAAAGAAACAAGGTGAAGAAGGGTACGAGGTACCCAGTTAGTGAAGATTATCAATGGGTAGTGGGCAGGCCATGTGATAGCTATGCTAACAGGTTCACCACATTATTCCATACTAGAATGATATACTTTCATGAATTACTAAATATGCAGAACAAACATGGTTTCAACTACAGGACTGTCAACCAAGGTCATCAAGCAGACAAATCAAATGTAAGACATAAACTATAATTAGAATCACTTTTTATTGAACCAAAACAATATGAAATAGCATCACAAACATAAGGATCAATATAGCATAGTGCAAAATATGTAAAGTTTTAACAGAACATCAAGAGGAGCTTAAAAACACAACTCAATCGATTTAGCTAACATGTTAGTATAGCTATTATTTAACTGACATGGATGGAACACACATAGTATAAACATAAGGTTTAGCCCAACTAATCATAAGGTTCAACAGGATTTGTTCATAAGAGTATCAACTACACAGAAATATTTTATCTAGCCAAGTTATGAGGGATGAAATTCATTAGCAACATAGATTGGATAGCAGTATCAGAACAACCTAACTTATCAGGAACTTATCATCTCAACAATGAAAATGGCATGAAAAAATAGAACATAATAAGTATAGTCATATACCACTAATGTATATCATAAACGAAAGGTGATTAACAGAAAAAATATCACAAAATTTCACAATTAAGATATAGAGACAGGGTCAACATACACTGACCTTCTTTAGAGCAGCAAACCAAGTAGGAGTCGATTATTAACTATTTTGGGATCCAAACCAACAACGATCCACTCACAGGGATTGGACTCAAATAGAAATGAAAAGATGAAAAGAGAAATATTAGAGGGGAACTACTGGAACTTAAACTTAGTAGGAAAAACTTAAACTTTTAATTCTTTCAGTGTATTTTCCAGTGATGTTAGGTGTGTATTGGTGTCTATTGATGTCTGTTTGGTGAAGACATTGAATTCCCTATTATAGCGACATTCAAGCCACTTAGGATTTCGATTGAATTCAAAATGGTAGTGAAGAGTGATGATAGATGGATGACGATAGCAAGGAGGGTAAAAATCAGAAGAAAAGAGGGGGAAATAGTGAAGATTCTTATCTGCGCATGAGGAGGTCGACCGTTGAAGCCATCGGACTGTCGGTCAAACCCTAATGTCCAAAAGTCAGTGTGTTTGACCTCTGAACCTCGAAAAATAATGATGAAGTTGAAGATAATGGTCATGCATGCTCCGATTCGACGGAACAAAGGAAGGATTAATGGAATCTTAGGTTGCATAGTTTAGGTCTAGGGTTTCGGATTTGGGGGTTTTGAATTGTAGAGATGAAGGGGAAATTTCAGGCGGAATTGAGGCATTGCAGGGACAGAAGAGATGATTTAGGTGTTTGGAGTGACCTTGCACAAATTTGTACAAGGTCTTGGATTGATGGGATTGATGGGAATGAGAGAACAGAGAGAGTGAATGGGGAAATTAGGGCGGCCAGACGGTGATAGAATTATTAGGGTTAGTGGTTCTTTTGGGTCTAAAGTGAGGGACAGGATCTAAGCCGTTAGATCTTTTGATCAGCGGCTCCGATTTTTCGGACAATAGAAATTAGATAAAGGATTTATTATGGAAAAACGACAGTTGTTGGATCTTTGCAATCCAACAGTTGAGATGAGATTCGGTGAATGTTTGGAAATAAAAGAAAAATAGGGGTTAATTATGGACCGTTGATGGATTGGGTCAACAGTCGAGATCTTTTGTGTTTCTTATGTGAGTGTTGGAGAGCGATGATGTGATGCGATACCAATGGTTTATGGGGAGATGTCATGGATTGCCAACTTGGATGACATGGTGGGTTCCGAACTGGGTCAAGCATCTATTGGGCCGGTATTTTGGGCTAAATCAGCTGAAATGGAATTTAATATATAGCCACATTAGGTTTAATTAGACAATTATAATTACAGCCCTTTTGAGTATTTGACCCCTTTTATAATTAAATTAATTAGACTTAATTAAACCTAATTAAATATAATAAAATATAATCATTAAATATATTATTTATTACTATAAATAATTAGTTATTGAAATTAATTATAATACTTCATCTATGAAGACTAATTTTGGCTAATTAAAGTAATAAAGGTAGTACAGTTATAAATTAAAGTCTAATTTATTAAATTAATTATAAAAACTTATTTATTAAGATATGAAAGTTATTTTATTTAAGAGTATAACTTATAAATGTTTAATACTAAATTACTATTAATTAAATATTGCTAATTACCATTATATCATTTATATTTTAAGAAAATAGGTATTGTTTATTAATAAGTGTAAATAATTTAATTTTAAAGGGGGGG